AGCGCAACAAACAATAAAAGCAGAGACGCGTTCGTTCTTATAAAACTTTACAGTTACATGTGCTCCTCGTCTCATGTTCCCTTCTTCTACGATTAATGATCATGTCTCGCGCTCTGAAGGACTTGTCGCCGACATGAAGGTTCAACAACAACAATAATACTAAGCAATAATAAGTTACAACTATTACGTATTTACCAGACAATTACACGTAAAAAATGACGGGAATATGTGAAGTAGTAAATTGCCAACTAACCAGTACAGAAAATACAATGTGTTATTGGCGTGACGTTCCAGAATATATTGCATTTATTTATCAGTCTATAACACAGTCAAAGCCGTTCGAAACAATGCTGTTCTGTCATCAGTCAGTTTCTGATAAACCGAATCAGCGAAGAACGAAAACAGTATCTACAACATATTTCTGTCAAAATAGTGGAAAGTCCAGATCGGACTTCGAGTCAGATGTGTGCAGAAAACGAGACGCCTAATTCACGATAGAAAGAGTATTTTAAGCAAAAGACGTTGGCTTTTCCATACAAAGGATTCATGTTTGAATATTTTTAGAGTTTTCTGATAAGATGGCTGTAAAATCCTATAACAAATTTAACTTCCCCTAGCCTGTCTACATAGGCCACCTGTCCTCACACGATATAAACTACTGGATGTAATGAACTGATTTTTATAAAACTCTGAACGTACGTCATGTTACTGGAGGCATTCATACCGCCACTGTTCGCGACAGCATTCCAAAATATTTTACTGCGATGCTAACTTTGGAAATGGAAGCCGGAATAGCTTCGAACATAGCTGTTTCCTCCTCCGAACAAAAATTGGACCAAAGGCGAGTTTCGAGTCTCAAGTGTTTGGTCCTTCCATCTTTTCCGTGGGAGACGAAGGTTTCGTCTTTCATCCGATCGCTTGTTCAGCCTTCCAAGTATTATTAACCTTCCTACATCTGGATGTTGCGTGCCACCAGTCAACCTCCAACCTGGAGGACAAGTGACCTCTTTTGGTTTGACTCCTACCCATCGACCAGACATGGTTGACCCTGCCAGGAGCTTACACTCCCACCAGCGTAGCTGCCTGGGTCAACGGAGCACGCAAAGCTGACAGTGGTCATACTGAGTAACAAATAAACTTAGTTCTAGATTGGAACAGCAATCTGCCTGTCATAAAACCAACTTATAACTGCAATAATCTTCTTAATATCGTTTCATCGGTAAAAAGTTGAATTATTGCCCTCTCTGACCACCGGCGATAAGCTTCAGACACCAAAGCATCGGGCCGGGTCCTCTTCGGGAAAACTAACAGATTTCAACGAGAGAAAAAAAATGCACGAAAACAGTAAAAATTCTGTACGAATTTTTGTAAAAGTCTTGTTACTAATTTCAAATT